GGGGGGGGGGGGGGGGGGGGAATTCTGGGAGTTGAAGTCCCTCTATCTTAAAGTTGCTGAGGTTGAGAAACACTGCCCTACAGGCTGCAGCAGGGAAGGAAGGCACGTTCCTACAACTCCCAGGATGCCCTAGGGCTCATTGCTCAACGTTCCTTCATTTTGGTTGGTTAATGGCAGCTTCCCTCCCCTGTCTCAGGGATCTTCTATTTTGGGGAGGGTTGATAATGTATAAATCTCGCTCTTAAAAGCGACCCCGCCGATCAGGTTGTTTGGTCTTGAATGGTTTGCCCATGCATTCAGGGTTTGAAAGAACTTCTTTAAAGCAAACCCCTTCTCACTTCACCCCGCCACCCTGGTGACAGAATGGTGTCGTCCATCTCTTCCCGCCGCCTCTGACGTTCTATCCGGCTTTTAAAAGGCGCGGCGCCTCGCGAACCATAGAGAGGACGGCACTCAGAGCAGGACCTCTCGTTCGTCCGACGGGAAGCCGTGTCCAAAATGGCGCCCGAAACCGGAAGCGCGGCCCGCAGGGCTTGCTTTTCCCTCCTCTCGTCTCTATGAGCTTCCACTTCCGGCTCGCGTCGCGATGGCGCGGCCTGGGCCTCCCGGGCCCTCATAGCCGCCCTGCCATCCTTCCCTGCTTTCCTCTTATGGCGGCCCCGCACCCCGACAAGCTGGAGGGGGGAGTAGGCCTCGCTCCGCCTGCTCCGGGTCCGCCGCCTCCGCCGCCTCCACCTCCACCGCCGGGTAGCATTGCCACAGGCCCAGGCCGCAAGCAGGGCAAGGCCGGTAAGGAGGGGGGGCGTGGTTGCCATGGAGACCGGAGGCGGACGTTGCTAGGGAAACGGGGGGCCCACCTGACCGGGGGGTCTCTATTTGTCTTCGGGCTTGCTTACGCTGGGAGTGAGACCTGGCAGGTGGAAATTCAACCGGGGAAGCTCGTCGGGCGGCTTCCCTCTTCCACAGCGGATGATGGGAGCGGTGGTCCATCCCCTGGGTGGGAACCAGGAGCCCCCCTCCCTTGTGCAGGGCTTCCCATACGTGGAGTCTCCTTTCCATCATCCCCAGCCGGGCTGGTCCTGCTCCCTGACCACTGCAGGGGTTGCTTTCCTCGATTTCAATCATTTCCAGCCTCAAGGTCACCTGCCTGGAAGCCCCTCCTCCTGTCCCCCCCAAACACCACAACCCTGTGAGGTAGGCTGGGCTGGGCAGTGACTGTTGGTGGGAAGGCAGGACTTTCCTTGGATCCCCACCATCCTCGTCTAGCACCTTCCCCACGAGGCCTGCCTGCTTATACTTACCTATTTAAGTTGACAGGGAGCTGCTGCTGTTGTTATTATCCTAATAGATATAAATGTATATAAATTTAATATATATGTATCAATCACTCAGTCTCAAAGCGGTGAACTTCCCTAATACTCCTACTTCCTGTTTTCCCCATCACAACAACCCTGTGAGGTGGGTTGGACTGAGAGAGACGGGCTGGCCCAAAGGCACCCGTCGTTCGTGGCTAAGGCAGGCCTAGAGCTCACAGTCTCCTGGTTTCTAGGCCAGCGCCTTCACCACTACCCCAGACGGGCTCTTTTTCCTGCAGCAACAACCCTTTAGCTTTAGCTAAAGTTCTCTTTAGCCACAATAGCTTAATGCAGCCCGTCCACGTGCAAGCATCAAAGCTTGGGGCTGTGGTAACGTCTCACAGCAGTGCAAACCGTCCGATTGCTCGGGTGGGTCAGATTGGCACTTTAACCGGCCTGAAATTCTCCTCCTCTGTCTTTATCAGGCCTTCAAATGAAGAGTCCTGAGAAGAAACGTCGCAAGTCCAACACGCAGGTAATGCTGTTTTACCTTTGGGTGGGTGTGTCTCACGTGCCCTGTGTGGAGGACAGCCTTTGATTCTCACTCCCGCAGTCCTGTGGCGTACTTATATATGTTTTGATTTATTTTATTTCAGGTTCATTTCCCCCATCTCTTTCATGCAAACTCTTTCTGTTCAGCCTTCAGTTTCTATTACATTTATCAATTCGAGCATTTGTTTGCTTTGCCATGATTTAAAAAAGACATATTTATAAAGTTACAGTAACAGCAAAGCCCAAATTTTGTTAAATATTTTATATCCTAGCAGTTACCTTATGGGGGGTTAGTAGGCACGTCTTGTTTTTTTATGAACGGAACAAATCAATTTATTGACCGGGGGGGAATTTCTATTAATAGAAATTGGTTGTTGCGCTTAACATATTATGTGAAATAACATAATTTAAAACTGGTGCTTTCGGGCAGCTGTATTTTTTCAATGCCTCTCATCTTTTAAAAAAGCAGCAGCAGGAGGTGGCTTTCATTGATTCATAAAAAGGAATCATCCAGCAGGTAGTCTTCATTTAGGGACTGCCTTGTTTAGTGACTGTTCGCAGTTACGACAGGAACAAAAAAACAGCTTTACAACCAATCCTCACGTTTACAACCTTTGCAGGTCTGTAAAGCAAAGAAAAGCTGAAGTAAGATCATAACCCCAGTCACTGAGCAACTGCTTCACTTAATGACCCAGTTGCCAGTCCCAATTGTGGTCACTAACTGAGGACTAGCAGTATGAGAACCACATAATTTAGTTTAATCTGGCATCTTCATTATAGCTTGGTTTGACCCTCCTCATCCATTTCCCCCCCAACTTGGTACCTTCCAAATATATTGAACTCCAGCGTCCCCTGCTGGAGAAGGAAGATTGTGGTTGTAAGGCAACCTATCTGGAGGATACCAAATTGGGGGGATGCTGGTCTGCTGATTCTGCTCTTTCTTCTTGCAGGGCCCCTCCTATTCCCACCTCTCGGAGTTTGCGCCCCCACCAACCCCGATGGTCGATCACCTGGTGGCATCCAACCCATTTGAAGATGACTTTGGCATCCCCAAGGTTGGATCTTCCTCTGCGCCTTTCCTTGGCAACCCTGGGCCCTTTGGGAACTTCCGCATGCAAGGGGCGATGGGCCCCCAGGTCCCACCCAGCTACAGTGGGGGTCCCCAGCCGATGCGGAGGCAACCTCCCCCTTTTGGACCTAACCAGATGGGCCCAGCTTTCAACATGCCTCCCCAGAACCCTGGTTACGTGCAGCCTGGCGGGATGGGCTTCAGCGGGCAACCTTTTGGGCAGCCTCTGGGGCAGAACTTCAGCCCTCCCAGCGGGCAGCTCATGCAAGGACCCATGGGGGGCTTTGGCCCCATGATGTCGCCAACCATGGGGCAGCCCCCACGTGGGGGGGAAATGGGCTCAGGGCCAGCCCTCAACCCCCCAGGGGGACCGCCCATGGCCCAGCGATTCAGCCAGCCTGCCAACCTGTTTGGACAGTCCCCCCTGCAGCGCCCCAACCCGAACCTCTCCAGCCTGCCCCCCAACCCCAGCCCTTTTCCAGGTCCCGACCCTGGCTTCCCCCCCTCTGCTGAAGACAGTGGGGGTGGGAAGCCCCTCCACCCACCCCCCAACAGCTTCAGCCAGGAGCAGCACACCGGCTCGCCAGCAGCCGTCAACGGCACCCAGCCCACCTTTCCACCCAACAGCACTGGGCACAGCGGCGGCACTGGGACCTCCGAAGCCAATAGCTTACCTCCCGCTGGCAAGGCAGCTGGCAACTCTGGGCACCAGCCTCCGCCCGGCCTCGTCTACCCCTGCGGGGCTTGTCGCAGTGAAGTCAACGATGATCAGGATGCCATCCTGTGTGAGGCTTCGTGCCAGAAGTGGTTCCACCGGGAATGTACGGGCATGACGGAGAACGCCTACGGTCTGCTGACCACGGAGGCCTCGGCTGTTTGGGCCTGCGACTTCTGCCTCAAGACCAAGGAGATCCAGTCGGTCTACATCCGCGAGAGCATGGGGCAGCTGGTGGCCGCCAACGACGGCTGAGCTTCGGCCTCTCTTGCCGCCCTTGCCCCATGGCCAGAAGGGATGGTGTATCCGGTTTATACCACTAGACACTCTTGGCTGGGGGGCGCCGAACCCCATTCCTTGCACCCCTCCAGCCAGCAGGGGAGCCGACTTTCCAAAGATGGAGGTGGAGAATGCTGGGTGGCCAGGAGGAGAGAAGTCTGCCTGCCTGTTTTTGAGGACTCCACGACCTCAGGGTTTTCCAATCCTGACCCTGGACCTGCTTGTCTGGTATCAGCAATGGGCACATCGTTACACTGCAGTGACTGGGCACAGATGGTCCTCCAGGGGTGCCCCAGCCAGTTTGATGTCTTTATTGACCCGTTAAGCATTGCCGTCCTGCGTTTCTCTGTCCCTCTTCTGCTCCCAGACCACTACTGTGTTTGCAACTGCAAATTGCCCAGCTTGCCTTGGAGGATTGGCCAAACAAGAAGGGGGGGGGGTTCCCAGCCCCCCTCCCCCAGTTCTTCTAATCTTCCTCACTGCCATGGAGGGTTTCATTCCAGTTTCAGCTCAACCCGGCATCCGTTTAGCCACTTGGGAGCTGAGCGGCTATCGCTGTCTCATCCGGTTTCTTCCAGTAATTCACTGATGCAATTAATACCTCTTTTTTGGGGGTGTCTTGCAGGAAAAGACCCCAACCCTACAGAATGCCACAGATGAGGGTCTGGGTGCTCCTGATTTTGCCTTCCAGCTTAAATTTTGGAATGATCAGCTGCAGCCAGCCCAAAGTGAACTATTTGGTAGCTCAAAGTGACTGCCGTGCGCTTAAAAAAAAGCTGTACGCGTGGGGAAAGGACTGACCGCCTTTTGGTCACAAGAGGGCTTTAAAAAAACTTTGGGGACCTATTTTTTATTATTATTATTTTCACCTTCCAGTCATTTTCCCGACTCTGACTTTTGTTGACGTGTCTGCTTTTATTTTTGTTCGTTTTTGGTCAAGTGGTTACTGATGTGACTTCGATAATTGTTTCTATCCTGCAGGACATTCGATGGGAAGAGAATTGGTGGGGCGGGAGGGGGAAGGCAAGGTATAGCTGGATTCATACACAAAACCTCCCTCGTGTTTTAATGTGCGGACATTAAAAAGAAAACGAATTTTCTACCATCTTCAGCTAAAGTAAATCAAGAGGCGAGACCTGGGGGGGCAGTGAGATTTCAGATTTTGCTTATATACCGGTGTGCGTGTGTTTCGTGAAACCCACTCCCCTCCATCATTCGGAGCAGAGAAAATGACAAGGGGAGAGACGTCTGCCAAACGTTTGAGTGAAATTTCCTAATCATGTTTGTGGTTGGGCAGGATAAGACCCCTTTTCATTGGAGAGATTGAAGCAAAAGGCAGGGGTTCGCTCAGGGTGGGCAGAGGGCCTGTTTTCAGCCCAGGGCTGGACCCAGAGAACTTTGAGTGTGCAAACAACATGACATTTAGCCAAGTTGGCCATTTGAGAGGGAGTTTGGTTCATTTTCCCTAATGTCTTAGTTTGGATTAGTGCCTAATCAGCTGGCTCAGCACCCGTCTTGAAACCAGAAATCTCCCCATAGCAGCCTAACTAGGTTACGTAGCATTATTCACTCCTCTTGGTAGATGAGTGCCGCGGGTGGGAGATAACTTTTGTTCCAGGAGAGTTGTTGCTCCAGAAAAGGGCACAATGTGCTAGAACCTTTGGAAAGGCATGGCGTGTTCCTGCGTTTGTCCTCCCCTGGCGCCCGGCGAGAAATTTATGCCTTTCATCCTGTACTTCCTTGGAGAACGCGCCACGCACCACAACCAAGCAACCGGGTCTCGGTGCCAGGTCGGCTCTGCTGCCAGGAGAAGGGCCTGGCAGGGGACTGCAGAGCCGAGGCTTTTGTGCTGTTGCGGGGTGAGAAAAACCCAAACGGGGAGTGGAAATGCCTCGGCCCAGCAGGGAGGGGAGGGAGGAGATTCACCTCTTGGCAGGGAGGGAAGCCAACGCCTGAACCTGCGCTTGGCTGTGAATTTTTCTTAATTCTTAATTCAGGCTTAATTCTGAAGCGTCTGAAGGCCATGCGTCTCCTTGACCCGCAGAACGCCCGCTGCTGTGGTCTTTCTGGACTCTTCCCCCCCAGCATCGGCCTGTGACGTTTCTCTTGCCAGCGCTGCCTCCGGACCCCGAGATCCCAGGTCAGACTCCCCCCTGCGGACCTCTGCCTGCCTTTGGAGGCTCCCTCCGTCCTCGCCCACCTTTTCCTGAACGTTGCCGGAGCCAGTTCGCCTGGGCAAAGCCAGGCCAGTCCCCTTTCTTTTCGGTTGGGGAGGACCCCCAGGCATCTTGGCCCCCAGGGTCTTCCACAAGCTGTTCCCCAGCTCAGCGGAGGCGCTGCAGACGCTGGGAGCCCGGTCGTTCTTAGCCGCCTGGTAGGAAAATCTGCTTTAAAAAAAAAGGGCTGAAGAACATTTCCAGCTGTTGCTGTCTTTCTTCAGCTGCGTACAGCTTAGTCATGCTTGCAGACCCACAGGTTAGGGTTTGGGGGGGGCGTTCCTGTGCCTCCCTGCATCCTTTAGGGCAATGTTCTTGCCTGTGTTTCTGAGGGGGGACACCATCTTCTCCCCCACCCCACCCCA